TATGTGCTGAGCGGAGGCCACTTGGCCCCTTTGTTCCTCAGCTTCCTCATTGATCAAATGGGACTATTACTGACATCTATCTCTGAAGGCTGCCATGAGATTAGATGAAGTAATGCAGGTGAAGCATTCAGTGAATAGTTTCTAGGGAATATTCAGCACCCAGCAGATGGAGGTATGATGTTATTATTAACACTATCAACATATTTAGTGTATGTTTATGGCTTTCATTTAGACATTGCCAGAATTAGTTTTTTAACCTCATTGTTTTGAGGAAAAAGAAAATACAAAAGCAGTAACCCAGCCCCTCAGGAGACAGCTAGCCTGGATGGTGCACGGATGTGTGGAAAGTGATTGGATTTATGCAGATTTCTAATGGCTCTTAGAGAGCACGGTCTATGGATCCAAGATACCGTTCTTCAGACACCGTGAGCAGTCATGGGTCACTTAAGATATTTTTCTCCATACAGGAAGCACTAGCTCTACCAAGGGAAAATGGAGTTTTAAAAAAAACCTTTAGAGGGAAAAATATGTGAAAATATAGCACTACCAAAAACAACTAAAAATTTGGCTGGAACACCTGGAATTTCTGTGTATAATTTTAGTTGGGCAAACATTGAAAAGATATATTTTCCTGAAAGAGGAAAGAGTGACTTCATGGAAAATGATGGCTGGTTGTCCTCTTCAGATGCAGAAGATCCATTTTGCAAAAAAATTGGTCTTGTTTTAAAGAATGAAGAGACACAAATTCACAGAAGTAGCAACCATGGAGATTAACACTCCCAGTTGCTTAAATGACAAAATTTATCCCGAGGTAGACTTTGCTGTAGGATGATTACCGAAGAACACAGACAGGTGCATGTGGGCTCCTGTGCTTAATCATGCAGTAATTAAATGACATGACTGTTTAATGTGTGTACTAAATACAATAAAACCATATTACGGATTTGAGGCTATGAGCGTATACTTTATTAGGCTTTTAAAATGCTGTCTTAAGTGGAAACGTGTTCAATATATAATAGTTAAATCAACCACCAAGCATAATGGCACTGAATTTAAGGCTGTAGATTATTGTTTTGTAGTCAAATTATTCTTGGTTTATTTAGTGAGAATTGAGCAGGAAGACTATAAACAAAATTCTGAGAATTAGCATGGTTTAAGAGGTACATAGCTTTTGCTAGACAAAGAACGCAAGAATGTCATCTACTATAGCTGGAGGATAAGGAAAACAAAGAAAATAGATTATTTAGGGCCGTATAGTGTGATACATCCTCTCTACGTGTAAATACATGCACACTCATGTGCACATATGGGCACACACACACACACACACACACACACACACTATGCCTGGTAATACACTGAGTACATGCATAGATCTGAATACAGGGAGTAGCACTATTTTCTAGAAGAGAAATGAAGCTGAATACAGATGCCATTTTCTATAACAGTGTCTGTTAAATTTGAGTAGCACAACAGCCTGTCAGAGAAACATTGAAATCATCATAGACTGCTGAGTGATTCAAAATTAAACCAGACAAAGCACTTAGAAATACACTATGGGAAAGAATGTTGGTAAGGCAATAAAAAGATAACTTACATCCTTTTTTTCTACTTCTAACTTTTAATGTTTTCCTGTAGTTCAAAAATAGAAACATATAATATTCATAGAAGTATTGAAAGTTCAGGCTTAAACACTAAAGAGCTTATTATTTAGCAATAATATATTTAATTATGGCTTTTGTTATAGTTTGGGTATGCAGTATCTCCCAGAATTGTGATCTGCAGTTTGATATGCCATTGGGAGGTGGTGGACCCTTTAAAAGGTGTGGTCTAGAGGGAGGAAGTGAGGTCATTGGGGGCATGGTCTGGCAGGGGATGCTAGACTCCCACTCCTTCCCTTTCCCCTCAGTAACTTCCTGGCCATGAAGAGAGTGTGTTACCCCACCACATGCCCCCTCCATGATATGCTACCACAGGCCCAAAGCAACAGGGCCATCTGCTCATGGACTGAAACCTCTCAAACTGTGAGGCAAAATAAGTATCTTTTTCTTATGGGTTGATCATCTCAGACATTTTTTTAGTGACTGGAAATTAATAAACACAGCTTTGTTGTATAAATAATAGGAATGTTGCTATGCATTAGACCTTCCCACACCAATATGGAGTCACAGTGATAGAGCTTAGGGGTCAGGATTTGCCCTTATGAATTACATTCTAAATACATATGTCCAATGTAAGTGTTGATATTGTCATCAAAGTTTAAAGGGTTTAGTTTTTTTCCTTATATAGAGATGTCAATAAATTGAAAGCAAACTTATTGTGGTGGAAAAGATGTAGAAATGCTTTGAGTATTATTATTACCTGATGTCCGTAAAAAGGAGGGGTTAGATAGAGAGTCACTTGTATAAAAGTTATTTTTCATGTTCCCTCTGACCTTAACTTAAATAACGAGCACTCAGATGCTGCCTCTCGTATGGCATTAACTTCCATTTTCAAAGGCCATGAAGACGCTCCATAAAATGAAATATTTGAGGAGAAAGGGCTCAATACATTTTTCAAAGTTTTTAAATCTTGCTTTATGTCTTCCAGAGACCCTTCCAAACTATAGAATTTTGCATGTTACTCTCTTGCTCATCAATGGGAAGCTTTCCTCTGCTCATGTGAAACACACACACTTTAATCAGCACTGGTAACTTACTCTTCTCTGGAGTGGGCATTTAATTCTGCTTTGCTACCTCAGTAAATGTCAAGAACTGGCAAATGACCTTTGTCTGTGTTTTCTATATGTGAAAGAACTTTATGTTAAATAGCAAACTTTGAGAGCAGGGACTGTGCCCTTTTGGATAAACCATGGATAGACTTATGGGCCCATAGGTACGTTGCCTGGAACCAACCCTGAGAATTCTTACTGTTTTTACACCATCTCTGCAGCAGGGAATTTATGCAAGTACTTGGTTGCTCATTACCAACCCTGCCCTATCTGATGAGCTTTACATACACATCAGAGAAAATTGCCCTCTGCTAATTTCTCCTGCATTCTCTGCTCTCACAGCATGCTAGTTGATAGAAGATTTATCCACATGGAGAAAACCAAGAGGAAGTTCCTTTGCAGAGTGATTGAAGAGTCCTGTAGTAAAATGGCAAAAGTAAATGCCCAACCCACTTCCCTGTGTGTAGTGATGGTGGGATGGCCCTGGCCATGAGGACCATTCACTTTGGTGCCAGCTCATTGATAGGATGTAGATGATGTTCAGTTAAAGTTCATTGGCTGAATGAGTGAGTGATCATTTCTGAGTAGGTTAATTTTGTCACACTGCTTCACTGCATTTATTTTTGAGCAAGTAGCCTAGAGGACTAGGGACTGCAGGAACACAAGGAGTCCTTCATGGGAATTTAATGTTGAAAGAATAAGAGTGGTAGCGTTCCTCTGGTCATGTGTTGAATTTTCAGCATATATACAATCTTTGACCAGTCTTACTTATGAAGCATAATGTACTGGGAAAACCTGTAAGATTTTGGGAAAAAAAGCGCTCTGTATCTATATTCTAACTTTGCTGCTCACTAATACTTTACCCAGGGAGGTTTACTTGCCTGCTCTGAGATTCCATTTCTTCCCTATAAAGTGGATTTGTTTTCCTTCATTTTGGAGGCTTGGTTTGACTTCTTAAGGTGTGCTTGTGCATCTCAGCAGCAGCAGAGGCTGTTGCATTGTAAATATTGTGTGTGTTCTGGGCCCCGTGACAAATGCCTGAGACAATCATTCGTCCTGAGAGAGGATTTATTTGGCTCACCATTTTGGAGGTTGCAGCTCGCAGTCAATTGTCCTCATTGCTTGGAGCCTGTGGTGAGGCAGCACGACAAGGGGAGACTGCAGGACAGAGGAAGCTGCTCACCTCCCAGCCAGGGGAAGCCAAGGAGAGAAGGATGAAGAGGCCAGCTGCAGTCTCCCCTTCACTCCCCAATGACCTAACCTCCTCCCCCTGGGCCCCAGCTCCTGACATCCCCATCACCTCCCAGTAGTACTGTAGGTAGGAGATTAAGCTTGGGCACATGGGCTTTTGGGAAACACTTAATATCCAAACTATAGCAAAGGAAGAAATAATATTTATTAATCAGGGTAAAATAAAGCCTGGCTCAATAATCAGGTCAATTTGAAATCAAATCTGTGCTCATAAACTAGTCATCTGTAAGCTCCACACAAGCTTCCTTATGGATTCCTTCATATCATCCACTCATTATCTGTGGAGTGGGGGTGATGTTATTTACACTGAACGGTCAGCAGAAATATTAATGAGAAGGTCTGTGGCCTTCCAGTCCTGACCCACGCATCCTTGCCCAAAAGAAATGGAGTTGCACACTTTTTAAATTAAGCTACTTACCCTCTTCTATAGGGTGGCCACCCTGTTCCTGGTAGTACTTCCCTAAAGCCTCCTTAGTCTTGCTTCTTACTGCCCATTTTCTCTGTGTGTAGCTATGGCCTCTATGCAGGTTCTGTTTCTAGGTGCCATTATTGGGTCTCATATTTTTGCCATAGATTCCTTCTATATTTCTGGTTGGCTACTGTCATGCTAATGTCCAATGCAGTAAACTTTTACAGCCAAAGAGGTGCTCAGATTTTGTACAAACCAACTGGAGACAAAAGAAGATACAACCTCCTGGATATGTAAAGTGTGACAATGTCTTTTCTCTACTGAGTGGAGTCAGGGATTCTGCTGACCTTGTGTCTGCATGTGATGTCAGTGGGAACTTTGAGTGTGGAGGGTGGAGATCCCTAACTTGGAAGGTCTGACTGGGCAGCTGTTAGCAGAAGCTGGACATGCTTAGAGGCAGAGTGAGTCAGAAGGCCGGGAGCCTTGGAATCACTCTGACAGTTGCTTTTAATTGAAGGATTTTGGCAAGGAAGATGATGAGAAAGCATCAGCTCTTTGGAAACCTTCTAACTCTCCCAAGTTTTGTTTTCACTCAGCATCTTGGATTTTACTTTTGTTTTCTATTTGCAGATTTATAATCGATTAGACACACATTGCTGTGGGTTCAGACCTCGCAAAGAAGATACCTGTGTACGGAATGGATTGAGGCCAAACTGTGATGACCAAAATTCTGCAAGGCTGGCGCACATTATCCAGCGAAAGCATGACCCAAGACATTTGGTCTTTATAGACAATAAGGGTTTCTTTGACAGGAGTGAAGATAACTTAAACTTCAAATTGTTAGAGGGCATCACAGAGTAAGTTTTATGAGGGAGTAACATCTTCCGGGGTAATTGCATTTATGTTCAATAGATAGTAGGATTTTGAGAAAACTCACACCCTAAGTCTGATTGGCTTAACCCTTGAAAAGAATTATTAATGTAGATGTGGGAGTGGAGATCCAGAGAAGCAAAATACACCAGAGCATTGAGCAACAGCCCACGGCAGTCAAAAAGGCTCATGCTATTTTACATTCATTGTGTTGCTTGGCTCGCTCGGTGGAAATTCAGAAAGGTTAGTGTGGAAGAACACCGGGAGCTTGGAGTAGGAACTGGCAGAGAAAAGAGAAGTGAGTAGTAGCAGAAACTCTGTTATTAGGGCACAGGACAGAATGAGGCAGAGACAGATATGCAATAGTAATGAGGCAGAGCATCTAAATTGCTAGTTAAACTTGAAAGACTTTCATGAATGTCATGAAAAATGCAAGCCATCTGCTGAGTGGTCACAGTATCAAGGTACAGTCAGCTATTGAAGTCAAGTAGGATGGTTTTTGAGCACACAGATAGTCTTCTAGTAGCCATAGTTTAAAGGGGACAGCGTCCAACACCCAGAAAAGAGAGCTGATGGGAGTTAAATAGGGAAGGATTAGTGCTATACACAGGACTGATCAAGAACTAAAGGGAGAACTTAAAAATTTTGGTGCCCCTGCAGTAGTTGGAATCAATACAGAGTGCAGAGGGGGTGAGTGTGGAGCCAGAGTGAAGTTCTGTGTTGCAGAAATTAAAATACAACACACACGCTTGATCTTACATCTATTTGGAAATGAAGGCAGTTGAGACACCTAATAGGGGCAGGAACCACCTAGAAGGTCTGAACTATTTAACCCCAGCTATGGAAATAGTGGCTGGCTTTCAAACCTCACCATTTGGTGGATGGAGCTACCCTACATATACTTCCTACCTTGCTCAGAAATGAGATTGACTATGAAACAGGGGGAGTTGGAGACTTCAAATACAGGGGTGCATAGTAAAATGGCAAACAAGCTCTGTGAAAGCCAAGTACTATGGGAAATTATAACAACAAGCCTAAGACTGACACTAAACTTGGTTTGGTGGTGTGTGCCTGTAGTCCCAGCTACTTGCGAAGCTAAGGCAAGAGGATGATGCCTTTTAGGCCAGTGTAGGCCCATCTCAAAAAATACAATAAAATACGATATGTATGATATGATATGATACAGTGCAATAGTTTAGAATCCAGGTCTTCCAAATCTAACACTAGTATTTTTCCTTTTTATAACTTGTGATGCTCACACTTGGTTATTACTACTCTTCTTAATACATTGGGGAATGCAGTATATACAGGGCCATGAGTTCTATTCCCAGTATGGCAAAACAAAACCCCCATACCCTTGCCAATTTTACTCTGAAGCATATGTAAATTTCTATCCCTAAACTCTATGGCCTAAGTAAGATGGATTTTATGTACTTTCTACGTTAGAAGCAGTATCATTTCCGTGAGAGTTTCTGCCTTGTCCTGCCCTATTGATAACCCGTTCCTCACCTCTCTTTGTAGATTGAAGGCAGAATGTATTGTAGATTCTCACTTTTGAATTTCTAAGCTAGGGAGATTTTGTGTTTAGGGAATTTTATAATCCCAAGATGTCAGTTATTGTGTTGATAGTATAAGGGCCTGAAATTTCCTCATAGAATTAAAAAAGCCTAAAAAAAAAATGTATCCATTTCAAACATTCATATAAATATGAATATTCTTATTTATCCTTTCAAAGTAGACTGAGCTTTAAGTACATTATAAGGAGTAATGGGTTTAAAGTTAAATATCCTTTGAATATATAATTCACACTGAAATGCAAAAGCGTAGACTTTGCTAATCCCAGATTTATGCTTTAAGTATTCTCATTAACCAGTGCAATGCAAAGACTAGTAATATTTTTGTTCTCCTTTATATAAAAGGATTAGTTACTGAAGAGACTAATGGTTTTAACAGTTTTGTCTCGTACGTTCTAACACAGCTAAATTAGTTGAAGGGCTACAGAACTTATAAATCATAGGTTATTAATATATTATGGAGCAAAAATGCCACTTAATAATACTGCTGTCTGTTAGATTTCATAGCATACATCTTCAGAAAACTCAAAACACCCTGCAAGCACTGTTAATTCTACACTTCTTAGACTTGTTAGACAGGTCCTTCTGCGGGACCAGGGGGTCCCCACAGGGCATTGGAGCTCATAGAGCCCTGGGGTCTCTTATCTGTCTCCTGTGTGCTGTCCCGCCTGTGACCCATCAAATTTTGGAAATCCATGCCGAGAAGACCTGAATTCTGGCACTGTGCACACTGTAAGCAGTAGGCTACTCTTGCTGTGTTTAAATGGCATGATGGAGTTTGTTTGAAAATGTCTATGACACCCTAAAGTTGTATAGTGCTTGCCTCAGCATTTCAGTGAAAACAGGGAGAGTCCATCCACATGGGAGTTTAGTAAAAATTACTTATGATTTTGAACAAGAAATTTTGCAAAATTCTTTACATAACGTATCTCCAAGGCTCCCACATCATGCTTTCTAACCGAAGAGAAGAAAGTACGATGTCCTCGCTGAAGGTGTTCAGCAAGGGCTCTTCTAAATATTTTTTAGGTTTTCTAGACAGATGTCCTTTGTGGAGTTCCCTGGCTCTCCAACTTGAGTTTTGTTAAATTTGTTTGAAAACAATTTGTGTTAGTCACCTTTACCTTACTGTAACGAATTCCTGAGACAATAAACTTGTCAAGAAGAAGGGTTTGTTCAGGCTGTCAGCTTTGGAAGTTTCAGTCCATGACCAGTTGGCTCCATTTCTTTGGAGCTGTGGGCGCGGTGCACAGCATGGCAGGAGGGCAGCAAAGATGAGATGGACGGCTGCGTAAGAGGAGGGGTTGGGCTCCTGTCCCCTTCCAGACTCCAGGTCAGTCCACCCCCAGTGACCCAAGCCTCCAAGGGGCCCCACCTGTAAAGGTTCCCCCACTTACCGAGAGTGCCAGCCAGCCCAGGAACAAGCCTTACACGCACTGCTCGGGGAAACCCCAGACCGAAACTAGAGCTCACTCTGATACTCTGCTTCGCTCAAATTCTAAATCAGCAGCATTCTGGAAGCATGACAGAATTAAAGGCACTTCTTCCTCTAATTGGGCATTTTTGAATGATTCCTTACTCCTTTAATTATAGACATTTGGAATTATGTGTGATTCAGATTCAGTTGTCTGACTTCTATTTAGGGAAAGTACTTTACCGAAACTGTCAGCTGTTTTACTTTCCACATTTTTTTGCTTAAAACTCTACCTTGACACTTATGAAGACATTATTCTAGGGGATAGATTAAAGGGTGTGCAAAGCATGAAACAGCGCTCGAGACTGAGGGAATATTCTTGCTGATCTAGTAGAATCCTAATTTCCATTCCTCTCTTTGCCTGCATATCATGACTTCAAATAAAATGTTAGCATGTCAAGTTCTGAGTGGTTGAAAAATTCAGTTTTCTTAAAACACATGCTTCTAGTATATCATTACTGAGAGAAGTGTCAGCTTGGCAGTGACAGACGTGCTTTGGTTCTCGAGGTGCCATTTGATGGTGAGATTTATGCCAGATTAATGAAGGGAAGAGCAATTGAGGACGGAAAGATATTTCCAAGCAGTTAGTAAGAGTGAAATATCGCGTTGTCTTTTCAGGTTTCCAGAATCTGCAGTTTCTGTTTTGAAGAGCCAGCACTTACGACAGAAACTCCTGCAGTCTCTGTTCCTTGATAAAGTTTATTGGGAAAGCCAAGGAGGGAGACAAGGGATTGAAAAGCTGATCGACGTCATTGAACAGAGAGCCAGAATCCTCCTCACCTACATCAACGCACACGGGGTCAAAGTGTTACCCATGAATGAGTGAAAAGGCTAGAGTGCTGGATATATTTAGGCATTTTTGTTTCTGTTTTAAAACCAAGTGCATTGATCTCACATCCTTCTAGATGTGAGGCAGTTCAGATGAATGCATGAAATAAATGAGTTGAACCATGTAGACGTGATGGCTGATGTGTTCAGATGTAGATCTGAATACTATATGCAGGCATTAAAAGGTTTTTAAAAACATGCTGCTCAAAATATATAGTTGTGTTTTTCTCTAATATCACAGTGTGTCTCAGCATCTGATTACAGAATAATTCTAATCCTTCCAACTAACTTTTAATAGTATTTTCCATTTAATAGAGCAGTATAAACCAGAGGTACTGACTTTTAATAAACCACATTTTATACCGTTTTGACTGATCTGATCAACTCTAGTGGGAGTGGTTTATGACTTTGTTCTGCTGCTGACTGTTAAAGCAGCAGTTGCAGCACCATCCAGAGGTGAGTGTACACTGGAAAATTCAGAAACAGTCCCTGCAAAACTGCCAGCACCTACAGCACTTTCCAAATAGCAATAGTGGATTAATTATAAAATCAACAGTATGGTTTCTGAAGTACCTATAAACCATTATTCATCTGTGAGGAGTAAGATACATATATTTCCACTCCTTTTTAGAAATTTACCTTATTGTCAATATAAAAATTCTGTGTTTAACAATTTATATGTTTGCTTTTTCTATTTTGATCTAATTTTTTTGTCTAGCAGTTTAGAAATTCAACAATTCTAAGGTAAGAGTTTACCTGTTGGAAAATGAACATACAGAGTGTCTTTTATGGATGCTCTAAAAATTTTATCATTTTACAAAAGATATGCTATAATTTCCTTATATTTAATTAATAATAGAGGATTTGTTCTATGGAATTAGGTTTACTCTGGTTTAGTGGATATTGCCCATATATGACAACATGTGCACATGTTGAGTGTGTTTAAGTGTATTGATTCCCATATGAGAAGTACAAATAAAATAAATTCAAACTTAACTGTTCAATTCTTTTCAATGAGGGTACATGACTAGAGGGAAACAGCAAATATTAACAACAATATTAAAGCCTCAGCTAGTTCTCCCTAAACTTCTTGTACTGACTTCTGAATTACGTTGGAAGGACTTTGATGTAATGTTCAATGTTGGATCTTCCTGTCCCTGTGGGGGAAAAAAATCTAAGTTCATCTCATAGCATGGATTTTCACATATAGTTTTCAAATTTGGAATAAATCATCATGTCCCTCTCACCATCTTCCACCCTGTCTCTTACTTCAAAGCTAACTTTTTCTTTCCCTGAAAGCTTAAGAATATAAATTGTGAATATTTATAGTACACTCCATCTTTTCTCAGTCTGTGTTTTTGCTGAAGGGCACCCTATTCTCTCTGATGAGGAGTGAATCGATACCAGTATAAATGGACTATTGAAGAATTACAACACGGGCTACATTTTGAGAGAACAAATGTAAAGATGCTCATCTGCACCAATGGATAGAACCAACTGTGAAATTAATACGCTGGGTACAAGACCAAGGAGAGAGAGATGATTTGATTCCCTTGCTGTGACTTGTACTCGATCACTCCGTTTAGCACCTGCGTTTGCTCCCTTGCCCTCTGGAGACTGATCTTTGGGCCATTCTCTGATACTTCCTTGAGTGCCAGAGTGCTTCTCTGCTCCTGAAAATTCATACTGCTTGTTGACTCTCTGGAGTCCCCACTTTTACCTCCACCTCTGAGTATCCTTTTGTCTATGATTGTCTTAATGAGAAATTAAAAAGACTTGGGGCCCAGCTCTACTGTGACTGAGTCACTGACGTGCAATAACTTTCTGGCAAGTTGCCTTTCTGCCTTGTTTTACCAAGATGCATATTTCCACTTCAATGTACTTTTTACAGTATTTACCATCTGGATCCAAATTTATGATACTGATGGGGCGGGGGGATCTAATGCCCTCAGAAGCCAGCGTTAGTGTGGTCACAAGCTTTACTACTTCCGGGCAGCATGGTGCTCCCATCCGTGAGTCTGAATGTATTTGCTTCAGCTATGCCAGCGTGCTTAATACTAAATGAAAGGTCTGGGAACACATGTTTATTTTTGTTACATTAACCACTGAAGTATGTACCTTTTTGAAATCAATTCCTTTTGAGTCATGGGTAGCTGAAGGCCAAATTTTCACTTCTAATAGGTAGCACTCTTTCCAGCTGGAACAATGGGGATACTTAACGCATTTCACATACATTCAGTTTTGCTCGATTTGGTTCACAGGGGCATATTATGTGGTTTATTTATAACATTATAACAAATTTACAAAAGGATAATTCATCTTAGTGGACATGGGGCTGGGGATTTAGCTCAACGGCAAAAGCGCCTGCCTGGCAAGTGCAAGGTCGTGAGTTCGGTTCCCGGTACCGGAGAAAAACCAAAAAAAAAAAAAAAAAAAAAAAAAAAAAAAATCTTAGTGGACATGCAAAAACTTATTCTGCTGTGATTTATTTTCTTTAAAATGTTGATATGAAAATACAAACATATCTTAAACCTGTAATAAAATATTAGAAATTAAACGTGTGTGCTTTGGTAGATGTGTTATTTCTCAAAAGCTTAAAATGGTTGTTAGCTTTATCCACGAAAAAGGAAACAACTGATCAGTCAAGACTTTTATTGGATTGCGTTTGTGTGCATTTGCTACCATCATTATAATCATTGTCCTTTGTCTGGTGTGCATTTAGCATTGTACTGTAAGGATGTTGTAAGTAAGTTAAAAGATACAAATTCTGGGAGAAGACTTAATTTTTTAAAAAAAGTTTATTTTCAGCTTTTTTGCTTGGTATGAGGCTTACCCGTCATGTTCAAAGTTTTCTTCATGACATTCATATTTACTAAGTTTATTAGTGACTTAGCTTATTAAAAAATAAAACATACTAGACTTACCTTAAAGTGTTCATAATATCTGGGCTTGTGCAACAGCCGGCTCATTTTATTGAACTTTTAAATATGCATTACATTATATTTAATAAATAAAATACCTGGGTGTCGATTTGTTTATATACTCTTACGACATTCTAATATTTATGTCCTCACAGAATGAAAGACACATCTAGAGTGTTCATCTGAAAAAGAGACGGAAACTCTATATGAGTCAAATAAAAATGATAAAGGCGTTTTTCTAAAAGTTAAATAATATGATCAAAAATCAAGAACTTTCATTTGTGAGAGACAACTTGGCTTATCAGAACAATTATCTGAAACTCAGAAGTAGCCACAAGAGATTCTTGGAGATTCTTTCAGTGCAGTTCTGGGCTTAATTGTCTGTGGAATGGACTATTTAAAACTGTTGTGGGACAGAGGTTAACTTGTAGGTTTTTGTCCCACAGAGATAAAAAATAACTTTTGGTAGAAAAGAACACAGTAATTCTAAATCTTTCCAACTTATTATCCTATTGGGCATAAGTGAGGTTTCTTTTAAATGGTTTATCATCTTACTATTTCATCTATAATTTGAATAAAATATTAGACAAATATTTATTTAATTTTTCAAAGGAATCAGGTTTTTTTTTAGTGTATAGAAATGTTACTGATTTCTTTTTTATTTTAAAGATAAAAGGAGGGAAACATTAACAGACATACAACATTTTACAACATATCACAAGCACAATACAGACAATACAGAGTTACAAACAAAGTGGTAGGGAATTAACAATGGTGGTTGTATTACATATTGATATCTTCAAAGTGGCTTCTCATGAAAACAGATATAGACATGCAATACTGGTCAACCAAAGACTCATTGACAGTTTCTTTCAGCATAGAAATAGAAGACAGAAGAACAACCATGTTAACTATCCTGTATATACATACATACAAAATTTCTCCTTCTTTCCCTTCTCTTTTCCCACATCCCAGAAGCCCTTTACTCTTCAGTGGTTTCCTATCATTTCACAGTGTCTATCATACCTCCAAGTTTAAATTAACTCAAGTTTTACACTAGTGACACAATGCGGTGCTTGCACATGTATGTTTGATTTATTTCACTTATGAGTATGGTCTCTAGTTGTGACCATTTAAATATAAAGGCTTTGAGTTTATCTTTCTTTATAGCTGAGTAATATTCCATTATATAAAAGTACCACAATTTTCTTATCCAATTCTCAGTGGATGGACATTTGGGTTGCTTCCACATTTTAGCAATTACAAATTGTGCTGCTATGAACATAGGTGCACATATATCACTGTGATATGATGTTTTTAGATCTTCTGGGAAAATACCCAGAGGGATAGCTGGGTTGAATGGGACCTCTAGACGTAGTTTTCTGAGGAATCTCCAAACTGATTTCCACAGTGGTTTCACCAGTCTGCATTCCCACCAGCAGTGGAGAAGGGTTCCTATTTCTCCATAGCCTCACCAGCATTTGTGATTGGTTGATTTCTTAATTCTCGCCATTCTTACTGGGGTAAGGTGGAATCAGTTTTACCCTTTCAAAAATTTTGCTTTAACAAACTTCCTACTGTAAGTTCATATAATTGTATTCATTTGGGAGTCATAATTTTACATTTTTGGAAAATTCATGTTACCAAACTTTTAATCCCCAGTAAGGGGAAGAAAGAAAGCCTTGCTTTCAGTATAATTATGAGGATGGGAAATTGTATGATGTATAAACTCAATTTCTGGGAAACATAAGTTAATGAAGTATTTTATTGAACAATGACAGTTGAGGAACTATTTTCTTTCATAACACTTAAGTGTTTTCAGACCGTATCATCAGTCCCAAATCCACTGAAATTTGCTGAATTACCTGTAGCCTGAAATCTTTTTGAGTTTATTTTCACTTACTCATTTAATCTATTAAAAATGATCAGTCACTTCGAATGATCAGATTTATTTGCTCTGATTTCCTAAAGACCCTGAATCACTTTTTAGGTCATGTTTTAGAGCAGGAGAGAAATACAGTTAAGAGATAATATTAGAAGAAGTTAATTACTGGATTTATTGCTAAGTAGTTTAGCATATGCAATGGTCCCATTCTATAAAACAATCTAAACAAATAAGTGAAATTCTGCCAATGGAATTACTTCCTTGACCTTTATGCAAAGAGCTGTTCTCATTTCTCACTTTCCTTTGGCCTCTCAGGGGACAATGGATCACTACTCATTTCACCTTTGCCCCCTTCCCCCTTCACACACAGCTGTCTGATGTCAAAACCTGGCATCTTCCTTGCTTTTTAAGCTCCTTTCTCCCTGGGGTTAGAGCTCTGCTGTAAGACAGGTCTGACTCAGAGTTGCTGGCAGACTGTTGAGAATCTAAAAACGCACATGGGAAGCGAAAGAAATCTCAGAAATCCTTTCTTACAATGCCCTTGCTTGTGATTAACTTAGCTGAACATCACTTTGTCATTGCAGCAAGGTGCCCCTTTGCCTTCATGATCCCTAAATGCATCCAGTTTCTTGATAAAAATATGCACAATTATGTGTGCATTAAGAAACTCCTATACATCTTAATACAAATGTAGGCTGTGTTTCTTCACAGTACTTGTCAAGGTTTTGAAAGTGGTTGCGACAAAGCATTAAAAAATAAACCCTCCCATGTCAGTGGCTGTGATCACAGCTGTAGTAGAGCTAGCTGTATTTCAAAAGGCAGAGTGGGCTTCAGGACTGAGAACAACCACTACATGATCCAGAGGTGCTCCTGGCATTGAATGTCTGAAATTGAGCTTATAACTTTAAGCCACAGTGAGGTAGCACAATGCTCTGGCAGCCCATGGTGGAGTAAGGCCGCTTACTTCATGACGCAGGAAGCAAAAGCAGAAGGGAAAGATGCCAGAGGTACACGGTTCTCTTCTGGGACATCCTCTGTGATCTCACACACCCCGCAAGTCCCCACCACCATCCAGTAGCATCACTCTGGGACCAAACCTTCAGCACATGGGCTTTAGACCCTTGCTTCAAACAGCAATGGACTACAAGACACTGTGGTGACAAAATGCCAGCGAATCTCAGTGTCTCAAC